AATATGATTTTATTTTATATTTCATCGATTATTTTGAAAAGTACAAGTAAGATTAAATATGTTACCAGAAATCTCTTTAAAATTGAATACTTATCACTTCTGTTAGAAAAGTGTCATAAGACTTAAAAATATAAATAAAAACAGTTCATGATAAAATAAAAAGGGTGGAATTTAAGCTTGTGTATAATAATTTTAGTGTCACCTTCACATACAATTAAGTCAAATAGGTACGCCACTGTTTGACCGTTAGACGCTTCAGAGAAACCCTATACCAATCTGTGGTATAAACAGCAAATGTTCAGATAGATTATTCTCTGATATAAAAGAATAGATAATATTATGCTCTGTATGTCGTGCTTAAATTAAAGAACACTAGGAATACAGGTAGGGCCATAGTTACAGCGAGGGTTWAGGGGGTTACACCCTCCCCCTCTTTAACAAAGTAGAAAATGTAAAAATGTCTAGTATATTATAAAATTTAAAATGTTTATTTTTTAAATCATTTTTTTTTTTATTTTATTGAATAATACTTAATGTAATATTATAGTAAATTAATAGTGTAGTGCCCAAGGCGTATTGATAGTGCCTGTAATGCATTTTGATAATTGATAAAAGTTTAAATAATAAAAACAAAATAATTCCAATCGTTGAATGCATTTTGCTATGAAGTTACCAGCAAATTCTTTTAAGGGCAGTATGAATGAGATGCATCCTCCCCATAGAAAATATCTAGCTACGGATCTGAATACAGACCTGGCAGGTGTCGTGAAGACAGACGTCATTCTGTGAATAATGACTAATGAGTATGGCTATAGAGACTTCATTCCCTAAAAAACCTTAAAATATGTATGCATTTATGCCTTTAAAAATTACCAAATATGCTATTAAAATATGCACTAAAAAAAAAATAAATAACAGTATTTAAACCTTTTTATTTTAATATGTAGACATAATTAATAAAATTTTAATTTAGAGTAAAAAAACTTGTCATTATAAATAATTGGTTTTCTTCTAACAACCGAGTTTTAGGCTAAAATAAAAAAAAATACTTTTTAAAAAACATTTTTAAATTGAATATATTTGTGAATTGTTTTAATTAATATTGTATTTATTACATTGAATTATGAGGTATTTTTTCAAGTTGGAAAATTCGAATGACCTGTTATCAGGCAAAATATTTTTATACTTTGAAAAGGAACGTTCCACGTCAACCGAACTTATTGGTGCAAACTTAAAAAAAAAAAAGCGGGTAAGTGGGTATCGCTCTGCTGTACATTGGGGGTGGGGTGGACCTCTGACTAAGGTAGGTTAAAGTTGAATGCAATRATAGGTATCATTGTATACGAAAAACGATTCAGAACGGAGACGGTTTATCTGTCTAGGATATATTATAGATTATTCAAAATTTTAAAATATTAGATTTAAAAAGG